GAGGCAGCTATTCCCCAGTAGCAATTTTGAGTGCTTTCCAACCTGAAGGGCTCATTTTCCGGCCCTGTATCGGACAGTGTTTCTCTGCTATTTATAAGGTTTTCAGTGACTAAACATTCAGAAGTAATTCGTCACTCCTTCTTCCTAGTCTGTCTTTGTCTGGAAGCTCATCTGAAACCTGTCTACCATGGGTGACCCTGTTGGTATTTAAAATATTGGTGGCATAGCTTTCAGAATCATAGCAACTCACAAGTCACCACAGAACAACAAACTGAGTACCTTTAGGAACTAATTAAGCAGCACTTGGAATTCAGAGAGGGGTTACTTTACTAGAAATTCCCGAATTAAACAAAAATGTTTAATATACTAATTAAGCCAACTTTGCCATCTCATTTTAAGAGAGCGGAATACAGAAAGCAAAACAGACCACAGAGTTATCTTGAACCACAGAATGATCAGTTTTAACCTTTTGGTCAATTAAGGATATTGCTTTTGTCAAACCAAAGCCATTAGGAAAACTGTAGAGGCCCAAGTTATTAAATTAGTGTTGCTACATTAGAGTGGGCCTTTCAATTAACATTGTCCCATCTTATACCTGACAATAAATTACAAAATGTTGAAGGTATGTATATGGACATATTTCACACTGATAATTTATTAAGGAAATATCATTATCTGTAATTTACAAACTGAAAATTGGAGTTTTACTGAAATCATTTTCTGTAAAAAAAAATGACAGAATAACACTACAGCAGGACAAGGTGTAGGCTACTGATGTCCTATTGCTTAGCACAGGATTCTGGAGCACGGTGGCTCCACAGGATAAGCACTGGACTGTGACCCACAAGGTCAGTGGTTCCAGTCCACCTGCCATTACGAGGGAGAAAGATGAGGCTTTCTACTCCCACAAAAGATGAAAGCCTGATAAAACCTCTACAGGGTGGCTATGAGTTGACACCAACTCCATGACACTTATGAACAACAAGCACAGGACTCTTTCAAAACACAGAACATGGTGTCTGTCCCACCTCCACCTACAAGCAAATTATTTCAAATCAGTCCGGCTCACGATGTTGCCTACCAGATTCAAAACTGGAGGGCTGGTTATGCTGTGTGCTGTCTCTATAGACTTCTAGGCTCCCTTTTCAAATCTTCTCCCAACCAAAGCATGACTAGGTTTTATGAGATGAAGAAATTAATCACAAATGGTAATAACATCTATCTTTCAACATTAAAGACCAGACTATTGCTCCCCTTCCCTCATTGTCATCACTTTATCATTCATTTAGCAATATTTATCATGTTCCTGAAGTCCTGGTGTGGTGCTATAGGATGAGCCCCAGACTACTTACCACAAGGCTGATGGTTCAAAGCACCAGTTGCTCCTTGGAAACCCTATACAGAGTAGCTATGAGTCAGAATTGACTCCATAACAATTAACAACAGCAATAACTCATGGTCCTAAGATGTGCCAATCATTGTTTGGGGCCTTGAAGAATTCTAAGAGTGATGTCATAGTACCCAGCCATGAAAAGCTGAAACAGAAGTATTCATCCATTCATTCATTCAACAAGTATATACTGGCCATCCATAGTAACCCAGGCATTCTGGAAGATTCTGAAAATCCTTAGTGTGTGGTAGGGGATTAAACATCACACTCTCACAAAAAAGTATTATATAGTTCAGATTATATGTAATGAACAGTGCACTGTGCAATTAAAAGTGTAGCAAGAGCAGTTTGCCTCAAGAATCTGGGAAAAATTTAAAAGAGAGTAACATTGTGAGGTGAAGGATGCATAGGAGTAAACCAATTGAAAGGCCTTTTCCTAGCAGAGAAAAACAAGCCTTCTTTCAATAGGGAACATGATCTATTGGAGAATTTAAGGAGCGCCACTGTGGCTGAGGTGGTGAGAACAAAAGAGAATAGTGTGATGAGATGTTGCAAAGAGATGTAACAGCAGACTGTATGAGTCTTCAGATGATTTATTATAATATTTGCTGTTCATTCTCAAGAGTAATGGGATTCATGGAAGGCTTTGAAGCAGGGAAATAATATGCTTCTATCTGAAACAGACAACATCTCCTGAGTAGTTAAAAAGACAGCTGATTGAAAGGAATAGGAATATAGACATGCGTGGAGACCAGTAAGGAAACGAGTGCATCAAACAGGAATCCATAAGAAAGATAATGCCATTTTGAAACTGGTGGTAGCAATGAAATTGAAAAAAAAAATCGATGAAACTGACAGAAATTGGTGCATGGTAAAAATTAAAGGAAGGGCTTTTTGGTTTGTGGCCTTCAGAATTGAATGAATGGAGACGGTGTTTCCTGGAGTAGGAGTACTGGAGAAGTTCCAGGGTTTCGGGATGGAGAATATGAAATCAATTCTGGAAATGATGAGTTTGAATTGCTTTGGAGGCATCCAAGTGATGATGTCAAGTAAACAGCTGGATCATGACAAGAGCTTAGGAGAGAGATGGGAATGTAAATCTGAAGACATTGATATCCAAATGGTAACTTACTATGAGTGTAAATAAGAAGCCCTAGGAGGAGTATTAACAGTTATGAGGAACCTGATTTGACAGTCAGATAGAAGCCATTGAGCCTGCCAAGGAGGGTGAGGAACCACAGAGGTAGGTGTTAAACTGGTAAAGGTGTTTCAGAAGAAAAGTCAAAGAAGGAGGTACCTTTGAATTGTCAAGTATCAGATGTAAATACCTCTATTAGCACAAACATAAGATAATGGAACCTAAGACGTTACAGTTCAATAAAATGTGTTAACACAGAATTATGCATAAAACAACATGAGAGCACAGAAAAGCGGGCATTGACTCTGGAGGAAGAAAATGGTGGTAGTGGTTTTAATCTGGGTTTGAGGAATGAATGGGAATTTTCCAGGCAGGCAAGTTGTTGATTAAAAATGGTGGAGTATTTAGAAAAAAAAAAATATTTTTTTTTTCTTCAAGAAGCAACAAAAGGTCTTCACTAGTCTGAGGGATATCGTGAAATTATATATCTCACATTTCTTAGTTCTAATTATTTTAGTTTACACTGCCTCCCACACTTCAAACTCACCAGCCACTCCTCGGAAACCCTATATAGGGTCTCTATATATTGGAACCAACTCAATGGCACTTAGCAATAACAACAACCACATGTAAATAGAAAAAGTAGACATTCTCCCAAACAGCATTTCTTTTATCATTATCCCAAAGCCCACATAATGTATAAATCAGAACATGGGGATAGAGAGAGAAATGTAATATTCACCCAGCAACAAAAGTCTCAGACCAAGGGAATACAGATTAAGGATTTCTGATTATGTAGCACATATTGGATTTGAAAGTTAAGAAACTTAAAAGATAAGTTATAATAGTAAGAACAAAACTGATGTAAAAGAAATGACAAAGAAAGACATGAATATGTGTAAAGATAAAAGGCAGCTTTTCTCTCTACTCTTGTCATCAACACATTCTGTCTACATTTGAGTAGAGATGACCACAGCCATCTTCTAAGTAATGAAGAACAAAGTATCTACTTTAAAATCTATAAATGTTGAATTCCAATTTGTAAAGCTAACATTGCAGTATCATGTACTGCTATACCGAATGGTGAATACACAAAATATAAAACTACAGGGAACTAAGTAGCTAATAGTTACTCATTGACATGCTATAACAATTAATACTAGTTCCTGTTTTGTTCACAAAATTAACCAGGAGTAAACATTAGCATAGTGGTTACCAATCGGGCTGCGAACCACAAGGTCAGCAGTTTGAAACTACCAGCTGCTCTGCGGGAGAAAGATAAGGCTTTCTGTTCCCGTAAAGATTTACAGCCTCGGAAACCCTGTTCTGTTCAGGGTCACTATGGGTCGGAACCGACTCAACGGCACATAACAATAACATAACAACAAAACATTCAGCATCAGTAATTTAAAACTAAAATAACAGTAAAGCTCTCAAAGTACTATTCCATTTTTTCATGTTTTAACCTTTATGTAACAACTATCAGGAGATAGTTTTTTTTTTTTTTTAAGGGAAAAGGATGTTATTTATATATATATTGCTCATTTACTTGTTTATTTGGGTTGAAAGTGTATTCAATCCAAGGGTGCTGAGACCATTAAGTTGCCTGTTGTCTTAGCATGAAGTTTCAGGAACCATATGGTATTAAACTTTAGTCTGAAATGCCTGAGTTATTTACAATATTTTCAGTATATTGAAATAAGTATGTTAAAGATTAATTAATGGTCCGCTGGATAATTTCTTACTCTGTTTTCCTAGCCTGACATGCTGGCTTCATTCATTTTTCTTCCTCCTGACAAATTTGTCTTTGTTACACAGCAATAGGAGAAAATTGCAAATAAGGACACTATCCTTGGTGAAATGTCTAAGGACACAAATACAATGTGCTATTTCTAAGGGAAAAAAAGAAAACGAAGGTATAATTTCCTATAGGCAACCTGCCTATATTAGAACTGAGGAATGTGAGACATAGAAAAGGACACAGATAAGGATTTTGCTGGGTATGGGTCGGAACCAACTACAGGCACTTAACAACAACAACAACTCTAGAAGGGGAGTCCTGGTGTAGTGCTGTGTGCTAATGCGCTGGACTGCAAAGTCGTTTGAACCACAAGGTCGGTGGTTCAAGCTCACCAGCCGCTCCTTGGAAACCCCATACAATGTCGCTTAACAACACTTAACCACAACAACTATCTGGAAGGGTCAGCTAGACACTCATAAAAGGAAGACGATGGGGAAGCTAATTTTATGAAGTGAGGCCTACCAAAACAGAACTGCTGCAGGAAGGACCCTGGAGTGAGGCGGAAGATGCAAAGGGAGGGCACACCAGGAGGTTGATAGGGAAGAAGCTGACTGGCCGCTGTGTTTAAGAGGGTGGGGACACACTGGGCCGCAAGGTGGTACCTGCGCGGAGTCGAGCGCCCCTGCCACCGAGTCCCCGATCCAGAGATGCTCTCGGAGAAGCTGTTGGTAGCTGAGGCAGTGCTTCACCGCGGAGGGCATATTCCCCATGGCGGGGGCAAGGGCTGCAGTCGACGATGGGCGGGAGCAAGAAGCAAAAGGCTGAGGGGCGGGTACAGCGCTGGGAAACTGCGCCAGCAGCAGAACGCGCCCCTGTAATAGAGCCGAGGCGAAGAGCACCAGCCCTGCTGAGCGCACTGCGTCGGCGCCGAGGGGCGGGGAGGGAGGTTGGGAGGCAGCTGCGTCTGGGGACCTGGGGTGCCAGGAGCACCTGCGCGGGACGCCAAACCTGTAGAGGAAAGGAATGGCCCGGACGGAGTGCTTTTGACGCGCTCTGCTGAGCTCACAATTGCTGGCTGTATCTGCACATGCCCACCCATTGGTTTTACTGGTGCGGATCCTTTATTGAAGCAAAGTGGGTCAAAATCAAGAAAAGGAGCATGTGCCTATATATGGGTAAGTTTGTTCTTCCCAGCTACACCCTTCATTGCCAGCTACACCCTGTAGATTTGCCTAGCTTTGAGCTGACTTGAGTTTATGCATATGAAAATAAACTTAATTTTTTTAAAAAAATTGAGGCTGTTTAGAAGATTAAAATACATATATAATAGGACAATTGAGAAGAAAAGACTAGAGGGACTATATTAGGAACGATGTCACAGATACCTCTAATAAATTAATACTGCAGGTAACACTAAAACGGAATTGAATTGCACAACAGACACACTGAACAAAATTATGAAAGCCCTAAAGCTTACACGGTTGGAACTGCAAATTGTAAACAAGTCCATAAGACATTCGAATAGGAGGAATTCGCGGGGTGGCAGGTGCATTAGGAAATTAGTCCTGAAGCAGCCAACTTATCATGCTGCTTTAGCCCCATGCATTGTTGTTAAGTGCCATCGAGTCGGTTCCGGCCCATAGCGACCCTATAATAGGGTTTCCGAGAAACGACTGGTGAGCCTGAAACACCGACCTTATGGTACAAACCGACATTGCTGTCCAGAGCATTAACCCACAGAGCCACACCAGGATTCCTATCCCCATGCAGAGGGACACATGTATTGCCCCAATATAAAACTCCGATTGAGTTCAATAGTCTAGATAGACATCTTCACCAAGCATAATCTTATTCAGGGGGCCTGGAATCTCCCAGGTGTCCCTGAATTATCGACCTCTCTAGTTGCTGTGGCAAATATAAATCTGAAATGGACGGATATGTACACAGTTACATATAACCCAGTTTCTCAGATTATTTGCTCAGCATACAGGTTGAATAAGTATGGTGAAAGAATACAACCCTGTCGCAGACCTTTCTTAACTTTAAACCATTCAGTGTTCCCATGTTCTGTTCAAACAATTGCCTCTTGGTTCCTGTACAGATTCCTCATGAACACTTAATTCCTGAATTAAGTGTTCAGGAATACTCATACATCATAATATTGTCCATAGTTTGTCATGATCAATGATCCACACAATCAAAAACCTTTGTGTAGTCAATAAAGCACAGGTAAACATCTTTCTGGTATTCTCTATTTTCAGCCAAGAACCATCAGACATCAACAATGAAATCCCTTGTTTCATGTCCTCTTCTGAATCTAGGTTGAACCTCTGGAGATTCTCTGTCAGTGTGTAGTTGCAGCCATTTCTGTATTACTTTCAGTAAAACTTTACTCACATGGGATATCAAAGATATTGTCTAATGATTTCTGCATTCTGTTGGGTCACCTGTTTTT